TGCAAAAAGTTGCTAGGGCTATAAGGCAGAATTAGCAGCGACCGACTGAGCGCGCCCTGGGTGGCAAAATAGTTGAGCCGAAGTGTTTTGGTTTGGAATAGTTGGTCACGATTCATCTTCGACAGGATTGTTCGAGTGATTGATTATGACTATCCATTATTGGGTATAGCAAGATATCCTTGGCGACCAAGTGGGCATGGCCCAGCACAGGTTAGTTTCAAGCGACTGTTAAGCCGATAAATGGCGTGAGTGATTTGGTGCTCGAGTGCCATGGTGCGACTTCGAGGGTCAACTTGCATCGGACCCTTCAAGTCGTCGCAAAGCCCGTTGAAACGGGTATGATGATCGATCCTTGAATGAAACTTGTCTCTTGATGATGTGATTGTTCGATCTTGACGCATTTGTTTTACGATATGGAGATGGAATGAACCGGCTATTTGGATTGTTTGTGTACAGAACTGAGTCGATTCGATTGTCTGGATGTGAAGCCCAGCGAAAATCGAAGAGGGCGTAGCAAACTTTTCATTTCTGTACATACCACATGTGAGCCTGATACTTTGGTAAGTTCCACTGCGTTTGTTTAGGCTCAAGCGTACCCCAGCAGAGGAAAAGATAGAACGCCAGCGGATAGGTTGAGCTGTGGAGTAGAGTAGATTAGTGGTGTGAGATTGGGTTTGAAATTTTCATGTTGTGAACCTCATGTCCGAGGGAGTGCACTTGGCGGGACAATTCCGACAGATCTTGGAGCATGGTTTAAACCAGCCAGCGTCGCAATCGATATGCTGAGGGACAGGAGCAGACAGAGCAGGCAGAGGGTCCTCGAAAGCCTGGCTCTACCTTCACCCCATGACAAGACCAGCGCAGAAAGCCGAGGATGAACGTGCAAAAGGGTGGATTCAGATCCAGTGCTTCAAAGTGCCTTGCCAGATGGGTCGATAATCAACAAACGGCAATCCTTCAGCAGGATAAGCCTAAGGCCTAGGGGTATAGACCATTGTAGTGCCTTTCTTTTGAGCGATGCCGGTCAGAAAATGGAAAGCCAAAAGCCCAATCCACCGACATGGCTGCAAGCCTGGCCTGGGCCTTGTTGAAGAACCGGCCTGGAACACAGATCCTGGGCAAATGCATCGACCTTAAAGTTGCGTATCGGCAAGTGCCGGTCTCAGACTCTAGAGTGTATTTTGCAGGTGGCGAGCTCTTCGGCGTACATTAAGGCGGTTTGTGATTGCGACACTCATCCGAGCAACGAGGATTTTGACGCAGCGGCGAATGCGATCAATTTTTTTCGCAGGTTTCTCAATGACGCTCCCAGGCTGCTGAAAACTGTGTCAAGCAAGCTTCTGTCCTTCTTAACTAACGCTGTCTATGAAGGGCTAGGAGGCAAGCCGCATTTTGGATTGGTAGCCGTGCTGCTGGGCTCTGATGGCCAGCTCTGCGCATGTTTTTCCTTGGAGCCTTCGCCTCGGCAATGCCAGTTGTGATGGAGGGCAGAGTGAAGACGACCATATTCGAAGCGGAACTTCTTGCAGGCATCTTGGCCTTGGTCAAGTGGAGAGAATGTGTGGCAAGCTGGCCACTGGTTGTTTACACAGACAACAACGCCACACACGACGTGCTAATCAGTTCAACCGCCAGAAATCTTGTGGGATTGCTTTTAGTTAAGCTTTACATTTTTGTAGAGGCCTTAGCCAAATGCTATCCTTGGTCTATTGGGGTCCCATCCCCAAGTAATTTGGCCGATCACCCATCTCCGCTGTTCAGATGCCTTTAACGAGGTTCTTTCGGTTGGGAATGATGAGTCAACATATGCTTGCTTATGATGCTTTATTTTGAAAACTCAAGTTTCGCTTTGTTCCAGAAACGTCTCAGATTTCGCGCGTGTGATGATATTCAGTTCTCTGCCGCCGCTGCACTACCTCTTCAAGCTTTCAGAGTGAGCTGATTTTGTGAGGCTTGGGGGCGCGTGTGTGAAGCTACTGTATCTGTTAGGCTCTCTAGAGGTGCTAAAGGTTTTAGATCTGCAGACCGGAGGGGGAGCGTTACCCGGTAGATGGACAGTGAGGACCCACCAGTGCTGTCAGACACTGAGGAAATCCTTGGAACTTCTCAGGCAAGTCTGCTCTGGGCCCGGCTTCACAGCTTAGATCTCGAACTTTGGGGTCAGACCCGAGCACTTGAAACCACCCGTGCAGAAGCTACATCAGAAGCAGCCCGTACCCAAACCTTGGCCTCCTTCATTTAGGAGATTCGTATTGAAGTTGAGCAGCTTAAACGGCTCCTCCGCTCCTTGCAGTCCAGGCTTCAGCAGTGCGAACAGGCATTGAACCTAGATTCCCTTGATTGACCTGTGGTCGTACGTGCCCCTCATGTTACCTTCCGAGCCTTCGCAGAGTAGCGGGGGGAGCTCCTCAGGCTGGCAAGGAGTACATGTCATTTCTGCAGAGAGTAGATTTACTCGTGAAGATCCTACGGACATTGTTCCCTTAAAGAGGCTTATCTTCGAGACTCATGCTCGTAATCCAATCGCAGATGATCTTAAACTCCCATGGGAAAAGGGCATCTTCTCTGACATCTTCTCCGGTAATGCCGTGCCTTCTGCACTTAAACTTCCCAGCATGCCTTCCATCCAACATGCACCGGTGCCGATCCCAGCAGAGACCATAGTGTGCAAAAAGCGTAAGATGCACAAAATTGCATCCAGCGTTGTCGACATCTTCAGGGTCATGTCAGATGAAGACTATGAACAAAAACTCACGGTTCAGTGGACAAGAGCTACAGTGCTGTGGCTCTCAGTGTTCGAAGGTTGTGACCTTCAGGTGTCTTCAGGACATCACGTGCGTGCCTTTCTTGAGGTCGGCGACAGGCAAGGCGCCCTTGAAATCATTCGGGATTGTTTTGGCAACAGGTCACCTTCAACTGCTTGTAAAAGAGGACAGGATTTAGCGAGGTTCATCTCGTGGTTGCACGAAGAGAAAAGGTCCTGGTGGCCTCTCAAGGAGGCTGACGTGCTTGATTATTTGAATGCTTCCAAGAAAGAAAGCCGTTCAAAATCCCGGGGGAAAGAACTGGCTTCTGCCATCAGGTTCTTTAAGTACATCATGGGAGCGCCCATCGAATTGGAAGCTGTACTTACCTCGCTTGTCATTGGAAAATCCAATCGCATGGCTTCAGGCAAGGGTTTACGTAAGCAGGCTCCTGCCCTCAGTGTTGAGGAAGTTGAGTATCTTGAGACTCGAGTCCTTGAGACCAACTCTCCTCTTGAGTGCTACTATTGTGGCTGCCTCCTCTTTGCGTTATTTGCGCGTTGTCGTTGGAGTGACTTAGCGTGTCTAGACTCTCTTGAGTTTGACTACAGAGTGCATGAGACCGGAGTTTATGGTTTCATAGAGGGCTGCACCCGCACACACAAGACTGGTACATCGGAAGAAAAGAAGGCCATGCAGATGCCTCTAGTAGCGCCAATCCAAGGTCTTCTTTCAAAGCCTTGGTCGCTTGTTTGGAAGGAATCGCTTGAATTCTTCGGGCTTTTGCCTGGAGGCGACACATTCGGAGCGCTTTGCAGGCCTGTAGACAAGAAGCAGAATCTGTTCAAAAGGTCTACCATCAGTGCAGAAGCATCCGACATGCTGCGCTTCTTCATCCAGGATCCAGATGCACCTAATTCTTCAAGTGTGGACTCCAAGACCTCGCATAGTTTAAAGGCTACGCTTTTGATTTGGGCTTCAAGGTACGGGATGGATGAAAACTCTCGTACCCTCTTAGGCCATCATGCGCTTCCAGGTGACAGCCTGGCATGTTATAGCCGTGACATGTTAGCAAGGCCTCTCAGAAAATTGGACAAGATGCTCTCAGATGTCCGCACAAGACGTTTTGCACCTGATACAACACGTTCAGGCTGGCTCCTAGAGCGCAAGCGAGGTTCAGTCAGGCAAGACATGCCTACCGAGGTATCAGAAGACCATGCGCCTTGGGCTGAAGTAGCTTGGTACAATCAAGCTGCTGACACAAACGAAGGCGTCTCGTGTTATGAGATGTCACCTGTGGAGGACAGTTATCATAGCCCCAGTTGTGCCTCCAACCTCCATGCAGCAGGGACATCCTTGGTTGCACAACTCAGAGCAGACGCAGATCCAGCGGCAGATCCATCAACAAGAAAGCTACCTCCTGGTGAACGGGCAGCTAGATTGGAGGATCAAAGAAAAAGACTTGTGGGACTCCAGATAGAGGGACCCCTGGAATGCGCCTACAGCACACTTGACCTCTTTGCAGGAATGATCTGTGTGTCGCGCAACCATGAAATTATGAACCTTAAGCCGTCAAAGGAGCTGAAAATAGATTCAGCAGGATCAGTAAATGTTCGCGAAACAGCACCCACGATGGAGTGCCAAATCCACACAGAGCTCGAGTGCCAACAGGCCATGCAACGCAGAGCCCTTGCCATGGATGCAGTAGGCCTAATCAGCTTTGAAGTTGGCATGGCGTGGATCAATTCCCTGTTCAACATTATGACTCAACCAGTTGCGCCTGGTTTTGCACGTATCTCCTTAGTGCAATTGTTGCGCACGGATCGCGTGGCCTTTGCAAGAATGTCAGAGCTCTCCCGAGGAGGCATTCGTCCATCAGCAGCTGGGGTACGTCCCCTTGACAATATACTCAAGACTATGCGTGATGACAGCTCAGTCATGTTCTACATGCTTCCGACGCTTGCCATGCATGCGCCTCCCAAAAGGACCTGGGACGAAATGACCTGGGGCAACAAGGGCAAGGAGGCCTTTGGCAAAGGTGGCAAGGGCAAAAGTGGCAAAGGCAAAAACAAAGGCCAGAAAGGACTAGGCAAGCTCATGCAGCAGTCCTATCAGAATGCAGGCAAGCTCCCTGAAGCCCTTCGCAAAGCCGGTTGCGTAGCCATGGACCGTCAAGGCAGACGCCGGTGCTTCGGATACAATCTCGACGGGTGCGATCTTGCTCAGCCTGGCGAGGCCTGTCCCAGAGGCCACCACCTGTGCGCCAAGAAAGGGTGCGATAAGCCGCATCCCCAGCATGCGCGCCCAAGCAAATGACTCCTCGTTATGCCTCCTTCTGACCAGCAAGGAGGCTGTGTTCCTGACGCATCAGCTGGTCAACCTCAGGAAGAAGCGAATGCCAACCCTGCACAAGCTCCAAACACTTTGCCTGTGCCTGCAGTTTTGCCAGAATCCCAAATTCAATTGCATGATGCCGAACAGTTTGCAAAGGATCTCTTGAGTCAAGCTTGTATTACCGCCCCGCGTTGTGCAAGCTCTTGCCTGCAGAACGTATGAGCAGGGAATCTGCAGATTCTCAGGGATCAGTCTGGATCTCAGGAGCATACCAAAAAGGCGGACTTGTGGGTTTACGAACGAACCTCAAGAACTTTCCTTACAGTACGAAATGTTTCACGAAATTTGCATCTTCTCACGTTCCTGACTTGTGTTTCTCTAGCGTGGCCTTGCTGAATCAACATCAATCTGCGCTGCGCATTGATGCCAACAACTCTTGTGTGCACCCCAACTGGGTCTGTCCGATTACAATCTTCAAGGGTGGAGACTTGTGGGTTGAATCAGAATCTGGTAATACCTTTCTTGAGCACGAGGGCCAAAGGCTGCGGGGTGACATTCTGCCTGTAAGTTGCAGAGCGTGTTTTCTTGATGCCTCAAAAAGACATTGCGTTCTTGATTGGGAAGGCGAAAGAATTGTTCTGGCCTGTTTCTTGATCAGAGACTTCGACAAGTTGTCTCCAGCCGAGACTGAACAGCTTTCTGACCTTGGTTTCTGGTTGCCAAGATCGCTGTCCGTTGCCAACACTGGCTCTGCTCCCGCTGCACGTGCCAAAGCCAAATCCGAGCCTACAAGCAAGCAAAAATTTGCCCTCGAGGTTTGTTGTGGCGCTGCCGGTCTTACGTCCGAGATCCGTAAGCAAGGGTTGCCCTGCAGTTTCGGAATAGACAGCATTATTAAAGCTGGCTGCAAAGCCCCCATCAAAAAGATCGATGTAACAGTTCCCGGCAGTCAGGAACTTGTCAAATCCTGGATTATGAGCGGGCAGTGCTGTTACCTGCGTCTGGGGATCCCCTGCGGGACCTCCAGTAGGGCCAGGGAGATCCCAGGGGGTCCCCCACCGCTACGCAGCGAATCTTTTCCTGAAGGCCTTTCAGGACTGAAGCCTTATGAAGCTAAACGTGTGCAAAAAGCCAACAGCGTGTATTCTTTTGCATGCAGCTTAATCTTGCTTTGCGCTCAGTTCGCAGTGGAATGGTCGCTCGAACAGCCTCATCGCTCACTCTTCTGGAAGACCGTATGGTGGCGTGCTGTCCTACAGCACTTGCGGCCCTACTTCATTTTCTTTGCCAACTGTATGCATGGCGGGGCCCGTCCAAAGCGGACGTGCCTGGCAACGTCGGTTTCTGCATTGGTTGCACTGTCCCGGGAGTGTGACAACCAACATACGCATTTTTCGTGGGGAAAGTGCGGACTAGGATGGTCCACTACTGCGGAAGTCGAATATCCGCATGAGCTCTGTAAGCTTTGGTCTCAGCTCCTCATCATGCATCTTGTCAAGCAGGGTGCCATTGCCCCTATCCAGCATTCCGCTCAAGACCAGCCACATGCCTTCAGTTCAGTTTCCACCTTGACTCAGACCCGAAAGAGCCCAGCGCTCATGCCCGAGTTCAAGCACGTGCAATCCCTGACTGCCCTTAAGCCACCTGACCTTAAGGCCCCCTCGACCCTTGCCAAGCCCCTTCTCCTTTCCCTTAAGTCAGGTCAGGTTAAGATCCCCAAGGGTTGTAAAATCTTGGCGGCGCTGCCCTTGCCTCCGCCTGGCCCGTCAAAGGGGGGATCCATGGCCCAAGCAGAGTCCAGTAATCTTGAAAAGGAAAATGAAGGGAGACTTGAAAGAGTTTCCAGCAGCGTATGCCCCAACACTTGGCATCAAATAAGGGTAGCCTTCCCTTTCTCCCCAGAGGAGTTCGTGAGGGAGGCAATCAACAGAGGACACCCAAGTAATGTTTTCCAAGGGGTAACCGTAGCCCTAAACAAAGCCATCCAGGCCAATGCTCAGATGGACTTGAGCGACCTGATCAAGATGCGAACCGTGTTTTTCAATCATTGGACCCAACGTGCCAAAGCGCTCACCTGTGAGGAGAAGAAACTCCACCAATCTTTGCCAACCCATCGGCGAGAAATCTTGAAGGGCAAACGTCTTCTTTTGATGAAGGAGATGCTTACTGAACTGGGCTACAGGGACGTTACATTGGTTGATGATCTTATTAGTGGTTTTAGCCTTGTGGGTCAGACGCCAGATGCAGCTGCCCTGCCCAGCACTTTTCAGCCCGCTTTCCTCAGTGAGGATGATCTGCTTCACGAACGCAGAGACGCCAACCTTGCCATTCTTCATTCCACTCAGTCAACGGGTGACGCCGAGTTGGATCACGAGCTTTGGACCAAGTCACAAGAAGAGGTCAACAAAGGCTGGCTAGCCAAAATAGATGACCTCAAAGATGCCGTAAACAATGGCAGGATTTCAAGACGCTTTCCCCTACGTCAAGGAGGAAAGGTGAGGTGCGTTGACAACTACTCGGAGAGTCAGATCAATGACTCCATCACCATCACGTCCAAAGTTACCGTGGACGGGCCTGACACAGTTGCTGCATCCGCGGCCGAGACCATCAAAGCCCTGCAGGCAGAAGGTAAGTGTACAAAGCTGAAGGCGCGTGCCTTGGATCTGAAAAGCGCTTATCGCCAACTGCCAATTTCGGATTCCTCCTTGAAGTATGCCAGGCTAAGCATTTTCAATCCCGAATCCCAGAAGGCCGAATGTTTCCAGCAGTACGCCGTTCCCTTCGGTGCAAGAGCAAGCGTTGTTGCTTTCATAAGGTGCGCGCGAGCTCTCCAGTGGTTAGCTTTGCAAATTTATCTCATTGTAACTTGTTACTTTGACGACTATTGCAACATGGCACCGGACCAGGGCAGTGACAATGCCGAGAAAGCCTTGACCATGCTGTTCGACCTATTAGGCTGGAGTTATGACAGAGATGGGCCAAAGAGCGGCAGCATGTCGGAATCCATCTCCCTTCTTGGAGTTGTTCTTAACCTCTCGCAATCAGGTGAGGGCAAAGTCTTGATTGAGAACACCGCTTCGAGAAAAGAAGAGCTGAAAGAAGAGATCAGCAGGTTTTTGGCCGCTGGCAGAATCAACCAACCAGAGACTTCGAAACTCAAGGGCAGGATGACGTTCGCCGAGGGACAGTTGTTTGGAAGAGTGTGCAGGGCGCTCTTTAATGCGCTGGGTCGCCACCTTCACGAACATCCGCCTGGTGGCTTGCTGGACGATGACTGCCGCGCCAGCATGACACTTTTCCTTGAATACATTCAACATGGAAGACCGCGCGCAGTGGACGCCCAGTCCAAGACTACATTCTTCCTTTTCACAGATGCCCACTTCGAGACGAGCACCTTCACTGGTGGCATTGGCGCCGTTCTAGTGGACAACCAGGGCAAGGTAGTCCAGTGGTTCTCCCACATGCTTGACAGGGACAATTGCCGCCAAATAGCGACTTCTGATGAGGAGCAAATCATAACGGAGCTAGAGGCTGTGGGCGTTCTTGCGGCAATCAATCAATGGAAATCTTGGTTTTGCAAGAAGCAGCAGAAGCACATGGTTTGTTTCCTGGACAATGAGGGTGCTCGAGGTGCCATCTTGCGAGGAAGATCCCACAACTCCTTGCTGAATGCAATAGCCCATCAGATATGCGAGACAGAAGACATCAATTGCATTTTCCCTTGGTATGCGCGCATCCCTTCGATCAGCAACTTGGCCGACCCTCCATCAAGAGGAATACCCCATCCGTGGCTAGTGGCCGATAAAGAAGTCAAGCTTGAGGCCAACTTGTTCGCTTGTTTGGCTTGAGGCCAATAGGGGGGAAAGGCAAGCACAAACAAGCAAGATGAGCTCGTGGCAAGATTTCCCCATTGACAAAAGTGTGGTGCGCTGAGTTGATTATTTAAACAATACTGATTGAGTTCAATGTGGCATAATATTTGAGAAAGATTGACCCGTCTGGGATTCTGTGGAAATGCAAATTTCTTGAATCGAGTTTCCTTGAAGCTGAATATTCCTCTGATTTAGTCATAGCTTTGTTTGTCAACTTTTGTTTATGATGCACTTCCCAAATCTGAGTGAGTTGCAAATCTTGGCCTTGGTCAAGTGGAGAG